TATTAGGCCTGTCAAATTTGGTTCCGATCCCATTACTTTTTCTATCTTCTTTATGCGAAGATACGAAAAGTGGTTAAGCCAAATATATACATAATAGTAATGATATTCTAATCACTACTTTTGTATACGGCTCCCTGATTTTTTTTACTCCTGTAGATAAAATGTTCCTTGTTCACCCAACAGAAATAATTCTTAATTGTAACTGGAAAAAATGATAAAACAAATTAGATGTTGCATAAGAGAAGTCAGCAAATATAATATAAACTACACGTATTTCAGGCCATGTACGTGCACTCCGGCTATGCCTGCTCTACCACAGTTGAGTCTACCACAATTGACTCTACCAACTCTTCCGCCACTACAGCTCCCTTCACTACAACTTCCTCCACTACAGCTACCGTCACTACCGGGTCTCTTCCCACCAGCAGGACCACAATGCTGCCCACCTCCACCAGTTCAAAATCCATGTATACCATGCGGACCGCCACCGTCATGTGCTCCATGTGGTGGTGGTGGAGCGGTACCACCTCCGACGCCTTCTTGTACACCATGTGTATGTGTGCCTTGTGGACCACCGCCGCCACCTCCAACGCCCCCTCCGACACCTGCTTGCGTACCATGTGTATGTGTACCATGTGGACCACCTCCACCGCCTCCAACGCCTCCTCCGACACCTGCTTGCACACCATGTATATGTGTGCCTTGTGGGCCACCGCCTACACTTCCTCCGCTACCTCCTCCCACACCTGCTTGTACACCATGTGTTTGTCCACCATGTGGTGGACCTCCACCAATGCCAACAGGAGGTGGTTACGCTGTTCCACCAACAGGAGGTGGCTACGCTGTTCCACCAACAGGCGGTGGCGGATACGCAGTTCCACCAACAGGAGGTGGAGGATACGCAGTTGGAGGAAAATAAATGGCAACGTCACACAGAGTTGTTTATCTGTATATTTGTTTGATTTTACATCAGCGAACATCCTCTATCTCTGGACCATTTTGATCGTTGTCATATCCTGCCCTATGATTGTTGTACCCTTTATTTCATTAATGCATTTGTCATTTCTAGCTTTGTCACTGTGTATACATGTCTGTATCTCAACGCATAGAGTTTTCTATCTCTCACTTCAGGAATGTTGTAATCTACTTAGGAATTTTAGTGAAGGTCGTTCAACAAAAACT